AGAATTAGGGTAGATCTTTCTGCAGGCTTGGGTTTCTAGATTATCCAGCATGAGCGTCTATTTCCATATACGGATCCCTCCCAGCAGCGATTCGGATGAGAAGTTGGTCTTTACACCGGTGGCTCCAAACAAGATCTGAAGGTGGACAGGGTTTTTCAAACTAAACGAACGACAGTCAACTTAGCTGCAAGGGACTGATCGATTCTTCTCTTATACTGATAATAATGAGGCAACTATTTAGGCGCTTGAGTGTGATAAATCAACACCAAGGATAGTCATGTACGGAGGACATACTGTAAATGAACTGATAGGGAGGTACGTCACACATTTATTACGTAACAGGAAACTGTATACCAAATGAACAAGCTAGGAAAGGTATCTAGTGCGAATTATTTCTGTCGCATTTAGCGCGATGTAGAAGAAACCGAGAGAGCTTTACCACTGCCACGCATTGGCGCAGGCCTATACACATTCCTTCTTTCATTTGCTGAGTGCCTGGCTCAACTGAGTTTAGCCAGCATTTTCGATATTGTGACCTTCCTTGGTACGACGAAATGGCTTCACTTCTGGGGGAAGAAAGAATATAAGTATAACAACAAGTATATGGCCACCTAAGCATGCCTATTTTCATCGACGGATTAATATATCAATATCTTCGTACATATATGCCAACTGGGCATAATAAATTGTTTTTTTTTTTAACTTTTTTCCTCAGAGTCACTATTTCTATTTGCAATAATTCATTTAACTAATAAAATACTTTGAATTGAAGTTAATTTTTAACAGGTGGTTGTATAAAAAATTCCGTCTGTATGGCAGGTGCCACGGGGTCTTTTTGAAGAACCCACATTTTTTCCATGAGTATAGTATTGATTTCATATAACTCCATACCAAGTTCCAGTAGTCTCCCACCATGCAAAACATGAGAAATAGGCAACAATCGTCAATGGTAACAAATTGACGACTCACCGGTTTATTGCTGTGGTGACAAATCGGCAACAACATGTCTTTCATGTCAACTTTGGAATAAATAAATTATCAAAAATTCCTAAACTTATAAATTTCGCGTTGATAGTATTATCCAAAATCGTCTAATTTTTACCAGGGACAGAATTGAAAAAATAGGAAGCCCCATAGGGAAAGAAAGAATTATTTCTGTTTCTATATAAGTTCCAATTTTGTATACAATAATCGATTGAAGTATTAAAAACAATACAATTATTCCAAATATCGCCTGAAGCGATAAGAAAATGACTCATTCAGGTAATAAGAAAACGACTCGCCCAGGCGAGTTGCCTTCGGCGGACGTTTTAGAGCGACTGGTAATAGGAAATCGACACGATGGCAATATTACCGGCAATAAATTTGTTACCGAGGGCGAAACGTTTTCTTATTGCCGGCAACAAAAATTGTTTGGTGGGCTACCGCAAATATATGCAGTATGAAAAATTCCGTTTGTATGGGTGGTGGCACGTCTCTTTGTCTAATCGGGATAGAGGGTAGCTTTCTTTCTTCTAAGTCGGGCTAAATGACACTGGTATGCGAAATTTCATTAAGATCGGTTGAGAAGTTAAAGCTTGAAAACGTTACAAACAAATCGTTCGCACTTATATCAGTAAGGATTATCCAGTACTGACCATTAAAATAATTTTTTAGTGGTTAGCATTTTTTACACAGCCCCAAATAAAGAAACACAAAATATTACACCAGGGCTTATGCATTTTTTTGACCATTGAAGAAGTATATTTTATATGCATAAATGTAAAATCAATACCGATCAACGACTACCACAAGAAAGTTCACGTTTTTTATAAACTACGCGAAATGCAGTTACAGTTGTAAGCAGCCATTTTTCTCGCATTTGGTAACCGGCACATTTGTTTAATATCCGTCATTTTATTCCGAAGAATCTACAAATAATTGCCTGAAAACCCCGAGCTTTGTGGCGGCGAAGATTTCCCCATATACGAGTAGAATTTGAAATCTGCAGCTAAAATGAAACAAAAGAATACTTATACGTACAAATACATAAATACATAAGTACTTACATAGTAGTTTTTGTTGATAAGAATTATTTTTTTATTTTTTTTATTGAAGACGGAGATTATAGGATATTTGTGTGTTACTTATACAATTTTTTATCAATACTGAAACAATAACTCATAAAATTGAACCAGTAGATGGGTAAAATGTTTACACTAAAGAAAATGAAGTTCGCGTCTCATTTCTTTATCAATAATTGGGTAGCTAAGAGCGGGACGACCGTGATTATTGAAAGTACTCAGTGTATATGTATGTATGTAAGCAGGTTTAGCGGTTCCTTCCTCGCTTGAAATTAATTACGCATGTGTTTGTGTATGTACGTACATATGTAAGCACTA